CCGCAAGCGAAACTGTTATGCTTGCTGAAAAGCTAGTCAACAAGTGAAGTATGAAAGATGGCAAGAATGACGAGCCGAACAAGAAAAAAAAGCCAATGAATAACTCTACTCAAACCATTTATCGTTGCTTAGCCACTTCTTTTTGAACTAAGCGTAAGTGCCAGCACTGCCAAACCTTTTTTACCAAGTCCGACTATACCCAACAGAATTACCAACTTACTTTTCAAGAAATTGGCAATATCAAGCAACCTAATTCTTTAAACTATGCGGTGCTGGAAGGAGTAATTGTCCAACTAACTCACCAACAATGTCCGCTAACTTGCGGTTTCAACTACCAAGCTAATATCTATCAAAAACTAAATGACTAAACCACGAAAATTACACCAACTAAAAGGAACTATCAAAGGTTGCTGACCCGGTCAAGTAACCAGTAAAAGCCAATGAAAAGGACAGAATTTTTATTACCTAGAAATTACTTCTGAAAGCTTATTCACTAAAAACCAAAAAGAAACTATTTATGCTTTTCCTAATTTAGTTAATCAAGAAATCTGAAAAACCTTAGAACAGCAAACTTATCAAGACAAAAAGTTCCTGTTCCATTGTGAAAAAAGAACCCGCGGCTGAAGATTAAAAGAATGGGAAGAGTTATCAAATTAGTCACAAACAATTAAAATATAACATATAGCGTTATAGGACGCTTAACGTTATATAAACCAAAAAATAAATGATAAAAAATTTTAGAAGAAAAAAGTTAGCTGACTTCTTTTTCCAGCGTCTACCTTTACCGAAAATAAAACATATTGCCAAAAGACTACTGAACAAACTAAAAGTTTTGCACCGCGAACGTAGTTGACTAGGACTAAAAAACTTCTTCCGCGATGATCTAGAAGAAATGAAAGGTGATTGAAAAGGATGATGTAGCATTCGAATTAATGAGCAATACCGCATTATTTTTAAATGAGGTAAAGACAACCACGCTTATGAAGTTGATCTAACAAAACATTATCAAAAAGCCAATTTATAAAAAAAATCAATTTAAAAACATTTAAACTTATGAACCAAAAGAAAAAAATGGCTCCCATCCATCCCGGCGAAATACTGAAGGAGGAATTATTAATCCCGCATGGTATTAGCCAGAGCCAATTAGCCCAAAAACTCAAAATCTCTTTTCGTCGCATCAATGAAATTTGTCAAGGCAAACGACCAATTACCATGGACACTGCTTTAAGATTAAGTGTTTATTTTGGCACTTCGGCGGAACTTTGACTCGATTTACAACGTGATTACGAACTAGAGTGCTTACAAGACCAAGCCGAAATTACCAAAATCAAAAGAGAAATCCGTCCCTATACTGGGGAGCGTCCCCGGACTTCTTTGTTTTTGAAAAAG